GTGTTGTTGGGAATTTAGACGATAAGGAATAGCAGGAGAAAGAGGTATCCCTGGCTTTCGTGTGGCGTGACTCAGCACCTATGCTGACATGGAATGACAACGTGTCATGGAAAATTATAATTTGAGTACTTGCCTCTAGCTGTTTGGACGGAAATGTTTACGATGCAACCATAACGTGATTGGTATGCATTAGTTGAAACAAAAACGGATTAAATGGTAAGCGTGCAACAGATGACACAATTAAGTGGCATCCGGTGCATTTAACCCTGGTCAATAACAATAACCCAATGCATAACCCAGTCAAACCCCGCCATATCAGCGTGCCTTTTCTCTTCTGGAAAAGCCTTTAATTTTCCCTCTTTTAATTTTTAACGGACGATTTCTCACTCGTTTTAAGTCGGAATTTAAATCTTTTTGCACAGTTAGATCAGATTAATTGTGCTGTTCAAAATAATATCCACTTTGATATTTTTTTGAACAAAAAAAAAATGAGCTAGTTATTACCAGTCTATACTATGTGGTATTGACTGGTATTAAATAAGAGCATACCATATGGTAGGAAAAATACCACCCCGTACCATTGTGGTATAGTATGGTAAGGAGTTGGTAACGAGAGGTATGAAATTTAATTAATTAATTAAACTATCATAAGACTCAATTGTTATACTTTACTTCTCGCATCAATGTAGTATTACAACTCAATTGACTAACTCTAACAGTTTTACCATTTGTAGAATTTTGTAGATTCAATTTACCATTTGTTGATTCATTGTTTATTGCATATACATTCTCTCTCCTAGTTCTTTCGGTCTCATTGGTCATGTATATCTTCGTGATATTCGAAGAGAGGTGTGAGCACACTTTTAATCGACTGGCACACTTTTAACCAAACCAAACTAATTATCTCAATTAACCAAATACTGCCGGTTAAAACGGTTACCACACTAATTTAACACCCCTAGGCCCTAGACATCCCCACCTGCTAAGATGACTTCAATGAGAAAAACAGTATGTCCCTTTCAAACAAACTTTTTACACGATGGATGATTTAACATAAACACGAGGCAAACAAACTTTTTACGGCCAACCAGCATCCACGAATTCGTTTATGTATTGCAAGCTGAAAACTATAAAGCAGTCTGGAAGGATATGCATGTTGTAACAACAATACAAAATAGGCTGAGGGCTCCTGCAATCTTGTTCACCTAGTAAGATAGTATACAATGAGGAATACTGCCACAAATGATGCGACTAGCGTGAGCATTCTCCTGCTTGATTTTGTTTCAAACACCTAAGCCACATCAAACCACCATCATCAGCAAATTGTTGGTAGCAGGTAAACGTTAGGAAATACCAAAAACAAATCTGAAATCCCTGTTATTGCAGAAGTGATCAAGCGTCCACATACCATCTTGAAACGATCCATTGTTCCTGATAGGACTCCTCGGGATGAATCCATATCGTTGCCCTGAATGCACACAATCGGAGGTTACTACGTGGATAAACACAAATATAGAGGACATAGACCATCCCATGAGAATTTTATAACTGAACGATGATTACCATTCTGTCTAGCATGCGGTTGTGGCCTTCCACCTCTTCATTTATATCACCAGATAGCTACCAATGTCAAAAACAGAATACATTAAAAACAAGTAATTTCAGCTTTCAGGTAGACTACTGTCTTCATGCCATTGATCAAGCATTCTACAACTTCAACTCAACTTCCAACTTCTGGGTTGTGATCCAACTATTTTAAGACTGTGTTCCGTTTGGCATCCAACAAGAACTACTCTTGCTCATTCAAAAATCAAATCATGGGACTGTGAAAGTCAAAAGCTGAGAAGCCCATGGAATGAGAATTTATTGCGGGCGAGTCAGAAGAAATTAATGGCTCAATTCAATTCAGGCAAAATGAACATCAAAATTATACATCGTCAATCAGACTGCTATAGGTTAAGAAACGCATAATCATCAGAGTTTACTGCCTGAGCAATATTACTAACCCGCTTCAGGAGACTGACTCTGTCTTGCAAACCTTCAAGAGCACTTTCATTATCTTGCTCGTCAATTTCATGGGAGTAAGAAGCAGAAGCCCTGATACCACCCTCCTCAATTCCATCAAAAAGTGCAGTTCTGTTGTTCCGGATGTCCCTGCATAAGGGTATAACTTGAGTCAATAAATGGAATAATACATCACAGCAAGGAGTACACATTTGCTCTATGTTGAGTGATACACCTAAACCGATAGTAGCTTCAGGAAAGGCAACTTATAAGACGTCAGTATGCATAGTATGTTCGGGTACCCTTCTTGCACGAACTACATTTGCAGGTTCATTGTCAATTTAAAACAAAAAGCACCTATATCAAGCTGAGCTAAAAAAACAGGTAGATCCCCAGAAATAAAACAAACACAAGTCTATTTGCAGCGCCTTTTTACGCACAACACAACAGGATGCTTTCGAAGACAATTAGGCGTTATTTTCAGAAATAATATTATCCAATAGCTCATTAGAAAACTACGTCATTTGCAAATTGCGAGACACAGTGGAAGGGTAATCAAACACGTCATACTATTTTCTATTTCAGAAGATTCACGCTAATGCTTTGTGCTCTACAACTTCTGGAAAGTTAAAGATAGAAGATAATGTTAATAGCAAGCCTTCAATGGACAGCTGGACTAGAGTGAAGAATGTGAATGCATCAGGCCAAGAACAACAAACCACCACGAGAAGAATCCATTTTCATCCTGTGATTGTGCACCTATCAATTTGAAGCACGGCATATGATTAACCACAAAAAAAAAAAGGGAAACTTATTCCCAAGGTGTTTCTTCTATGCGCCTCAGCAGATATTGAATGATTTAGTGACCATATAACCAAAACGAGGAGGGAAATGCTTAGCTCCTGGACACAACTTCTACATGCTCAACCAAAATCAAACAAAATCTGCAACTCCTAAACATATCTCTAGCATCATCACTCATGAAAGATGATCAAAGGAAGAATCGATTAACTTCTGCCCCACTAAAAGACGGGCTTTCCAGATCAAAAGAGTGCCCCGGAACATTATTCGCAGAGAGAAAATCATGCCCAAAGTAGAGGAATCGACATATCTCAGGCCCTGAATTCGCGTGGTACTACTAATCTACAAATTGTAACACCCACAAACACAGGAAAAAACCCTCTGAGCCGCCAATACAACAAACAGATCCCTAGACAAGCCGTGAAGATTCATACAGAAGACAGTGTCAACACAGGAGAGGAGAGCAAGAAACGAACCTTCTGGAATTCATGGCTGGAACAATCAAAACACCGTCGCCACTCTATCTCTCTATTTATACAAGGGTATTCTGCTCTAGTTATCTTCGCTTCCGGGACCGCTTCTAAATCGGCAGAAATTGAAGGGAGAGACGTCAAAGAGACGGAAAATTCGTAATGAAAACATTGGAATTACGCAATTGAGACGGATGGTTACAGGAGGAGCGCCGATCTAGATCTACAAAAAGATAGAAAAGGAATTACAGCAAAGCTTACAGGAGGTTTCTTTCGTCTTCTCCTTGGTGGCCGCCTGATAGGCCGATGGGGAATGAATTGGAAGTTGGAACGGAACTCCGAGACGGGGAAACGAGATCCGACTATTGCTGCCCACAACAGTGCGTTTAAGTTCTAAAAATTCGGGTGAACTACTTTTCACAGGTGCCGTAATTTGCAAGTGTGGAAGGGAAAGCAAAAAAAAACTCTGGTACGGTTTGTCGATTTCCCGGCTGCTCTGGTTCACTGTTGTGGGCCAAAGCCGGCCCAGAAGAGATGAGAATGGCACTACACCTCCTCACCCAGTTTGACAAATCTCTCAATCAGCTGCCTCAAGTTCGCCATTGATCCCGGACAGTCATCAAAGTTCTTATTTTCTTTTCAGGTGAAAAATAAGCTTCAGAATTCTAATAGAGAGAATGTATTATCGAAGGCTTAAAAAAAATTATGTTTTACCATGGTTGAATCGCAAAATACTTGCACTTGAGCCGAATCTAGAATGGTACAAGCAACAGTACTAACAAATCGTGGCGGGCGATATTGAGATTTTAGAGGGCTATGATCCTTGGCATTTGCACTTAAGCCTTCTGCACCTATTGTAAACGGAGTTCAAGTGCCAACCTTTCTTCTAAACAGCACGACCTATTGTAAACGGAGTTGGGGTGGTAGGAGAGAAGACATTTGGAGGATTAAGAACTGACAGAAAAAAGGAACTGATTATTACAGTGCATAACCCCCCTTTGCCTTTTACAAATGCATGATTATTGAACATGAAGTAGAAACAAGAAATTAACTGTACATTATTAAGGTTGCAAAATTTACTGCCCAGCTAACAAGGGGTGGCAGTGATAGGTAATGGCTACTTCGTCATCTGAAAATGACTTCATCCCGAGCACCAGGCAAGCCTTTGAGTACGTCCCGCAGAGCATACTGATGGCTGTCGCATTTGTGGTCTGAAATTATGTTGTTCGACAGAATTATCTTCTGGAAATGCTCACCTGGCTGCCTCTTCAACAATGTGAAATATTCCAAGCCCCTGCTGCTGCTGCTGCTGCTGAGATCGACGTTCCGTTTGAGATAGTACACGGACCCTGGCACGAACAACTCCTCTGGCACGATATTTGTGTGTCCTTCCTTTTCGTTGATATCAGCGTTCTCTGTGGCGGCTTTGGAGGTCAAAGCAACACGAGGTGCCTTCCTGGTAGGAGAATCTGCCAAAGGTACCAAAAATCAGCCTTGCAGAACAAAAGGAAGACATTGCACGAAGTTTAAGTGGATAATGTTCTCATACAGACAGCAGCAGTGCAGTACCCATCATATAACATGGTGCATATCCTAGTGTCTACCTCTATTTTCTGCCATGCATTCAACAACCAGTACTAGCAGAAGGGCCCTAGGCGCTCACCCATCTGTACCAGACATCTATTGTAGTCAGTCAACTGAAAGTTGTTTACAGGCCTAATCATACGCTCCCTGGCAGCAGAAATTTTTCTAGACAAATTGAAGATTTCAGAGACATCATCCTACTACTTATGGGAAAACCCCGAGTTCCCAAACCCGTCATCCAGGATAGCATATCACATTAACATAAAGATGAAAATCATTGTTTCGATCATAGGCTTTTAATCTTCACCCTTGTTGCAATGCAATCTCAGCTGGGATCAATGCACCCAAGTCAAGCACATGCTTGCATTGTCAAAGAGCCACAGCTAGCAGCTGAAGCAAAGAGGCTAAAGCAGCTGCAGCTTGAAGAAAGGGAAAGAGAACGACTTGCATTGAGCTGGATAAAGGTAAAAGCAATACTGAAGGACCACAGCTGAGGTGGCAGCTCAACGCCATTGACTCTGCTGCTTGTAGTAGGAGCAAAAGTGAAGCTGTGTATTCTTGACAGCTTTTCCATATTTGGCTTTTTGTTAGCATAATCTAAGTTTATTTTTTAATCTATAAATGTGTTATGTTTTTCTTAAGTTATAGTGATGAATTGAAAGGATATGAAATGAAAATAAATGAAGCTCACAGAATGCATGGCTGGCACCATCCCAAAATTTGTTCAATTTTTACTGTTCCTTCAGTTTTCTCAATTTAAGTGTACTTTTCTGTTTACTACAACCCTAATCCAAAAGAAAAACATAAATCTTATGTCCAAATGCTCAACCGACATGTCTATCTTATGCAGCAGAAATATCCTATACCCTTCTACAGAACAGGGTGAAAAAACTAAACAGAAAAGAAGACGACAACAGTAGAGTTTCTATCTCGAACATGCAGATTTCGGCAAGAAAGCCAAAAAGCGAAGCACTCACTTACCAGGAGAACTCTTACCCCAAAACTTAGCAAAGTCAGCCAGCTTGCTAGCCACATCTTGAACTGAAGACACAACTTGCTTTGCATTGGTGACCATACCTATAACGCTTTTCCAGTCTTCTTTCTCAATTACACTGGTCCTGTACACAATGCAGATTGTTTCATTGATAGAAGCTACAAGACAGTCAGTATGCACTCTGTATTTCAAATTCCTAAATATAGCTAGCACATTATTCTTCTAGTAGTCAATGAAGGTCACACACCATGAAACGAAAACCCAACTGTCTGATAACCCCAACCACCTTTTGAACATAAAATAGGAAGTGTAACTAAACACACCTAAGTTACGAGCTACATGTAGACAAGCTTATATAGTCCCAATGTGAAGTGGGTAACATAAATTTCAGATCAACTGATTTCCATTTTCTATGAATTTCCATAACTTCTCAGCCTAGACTTGCATATTTCGCTTCAGTGTGTTCTATGAAACACGAAAATGCGGCATCTGCAACAGAAATTTACCAATCAGTTTGAAGAATTTCATTCCGCAATCGTGCCAAAGAAGCTGCACTTAACCTAGGTACGATATCATCCTGCAAACATGTGAAATTAAAATAATAAAAGACTACACTACAAGGAAACCGGAGACAACAGTTACTATTCAAAATAAACTTTAGACATTTGTCTGAAACCAATGGACAAGGCAGAAGATTTCTGTTGACTAACATGGGTTAAAGATCAACCACTATCAGCTTACCTGCATTACAACATTAGAAACGAAATCTGAACAACTTTCAGCAAGTTTGCTGGAGACGCATGGTGGGGTAGCATACCCAACAGCAGAAACAAGCTCAGGAGAAAATCCAAGTTCTTCATGCGAACATCTGCGGAGCATGATTGCCAGCAAAGAAGCAATGGCACCTCCAAGAGAATGACCCACTACCCTAAACCTATATCCCTGTAGATGATTCAGTTTCAATAAAAAAGAAAACTTGCATTGAAAAGGCATGGAAAAATCTGCATGGAAAATAAACAAGTGAACTACACACATCATGAGTCTCCAAGTACTTCCTTATGGTTTTCGTCTCATGTTTAAGAAACCAACGAGCAGCTTCAGCAGTGCCAAAATGGGTTGAATAACCCTCAATAGTGACGTCATCATCACTTGACGAAACATCAGTGATGAGATCATATACTGTATTAGTACCACGAATTCCCAAAATCACAAGCTTCTTGCGTGGATCAATGCCAATGTAGTATCCAGGCCTCATCACACTAGAATCTTTCACATATTTGAGAATATTTTTCTCCCGGAGCATGCTGTGCCGGACAAGACCAGAAATGTCACCCTTATAACAGCCTTTTGCCAACTCAAGGTGATATATTAGATCTTCAATCTGAGCAATGAGAAGATATGAACCTAAATTAGCAAGGGACAAATATTACTTTCCAAAGATCAAATTCAGACAAAAACATTGTAGGAATACAAGATTTAGGCTTTACTATTGCTTCAGAAGAGACTTGAATCCCCTTAACATCCTCAAACGCATTCAAAGAACCCTGACGAAGATATAGAAGATACAAGCCAATCGTAAAATCACTCAAGGTCCAATCCTCAATCCCAATCTTACTCCTCTGAATGCTAGAAATTACTTCTGAAATAGATCGACCACTTGGAGGGACTTTGTTTCCAATCCCACTCCCTGACAGTTTGCAATCAGAACAACATCCAATTCAACACCCAAACCTAGCTTAGAGAAAAAATGCACAAGAGCTTTCAAAAGGTCACAACTTTACCAACCTCCAGGTAGCGCCCACCTGCAGAATTGCAAGGCTGGTTCAAGGGTTTTTGTGAACCAAACAGGCTCCAGCTTCCATTTATTGGAGCCTGCGTCGTTTTCACTGCTAGCGGTAGATTTGGTGCGCATGGGCCTGGAGGAAACTTGAGGGGATTCCGTTGCTTCTCTTCTCGTAGGGTCTGATTCCTGGAAAGTATCCCCGGAGGTTCGCGATTGCCATCGCCGCAGAACGTGGTCGGCTAGCCGCCTGTAGGATTCTTGCCTCGCGACGAAGTACTTGGCGTAGTCTGCAAATTAACATCACTTCAATTTAAGCGAAGAGAGCAAATGGCTATGGCGGTTGAATTCTATCAGGCAGAAATAAGAACTCACAGCTATCGTGGAGGAACAGCTTCCGTAACTGATTCATCATTGCGAGAAATATTTGAGAAACTAGCTGACTAAGCGGATAGTTCTGGCGGCAAAGGCGGTGGCCGACGGGAAGAAAAGAGCTGGTGCTGACTACTGAGTCGTTGTTAAACTGTGGCAGTTTGGGGTACGAAACCGACCGCCGACCACCGGAGAGGAAAAGCCGAACTGAGGTGAAGGCGACAGCGGTGCAGAGAGCGGGCGAAGAGGTAGCAGATGGCAGCGTGAAACGAAGGGAGAGTGCTGTTAAACCAATTACCGCCTCTGTATGAACTACAGACACCACAAAAGAGGTGAAGCAACGGTTATTCTTGGTAAATTATTGCGAACTCCAAGGTTACTTTTGTCAAATAATAGACGATTTATTTCCAACATATCACGGGTAATTAGCATAAAGCTTACAATTTACAAACCTATTCACTTTATACGAAACGATCACAAATATTTCACTTTGTACGTTTCGGTAATATAGGTTTAAGGAGATAACGAAATAGTCATTCCGTCCATCTTCATCCAACAAATTGTTAGTTTCGTCCAATCAACACGTCATGTCACTTAAAATATTAATAAAAAATTTAATGACGAAACCCAATTAAACCGGCCAACCGATATAAACATACCACACTTACTAATAGGGGTGGGCACGTGGGTGGTTAATCCGCGGATTGATATCGATCCACCCGCAAATAACCCGACCCGCCAATGGGTGATTGATGTGGGTGGATTGCGGATTGTTAAATCTCCCACCCGCACCTATGTGGGTGGATGGTGGGTCACCCGTATGACCCGCATCCTATTTTTACATGGAAAAATGTTGTTATTTATAGTATCGAATATTCATCATATTTTCGGAACTGCACTATAGTCTGACCATATACTGCAAAGGTGGAGAATAAAGAATAGTTTTGACTACTATTATTGGTTACTGTGTTGTGCAATATCCATTGACAATGAATATTGGTATGAAAATTATTGTTAATATCCATTAAATACTGGGATACAAACTATAATTATTAATTGTATCAAAATCACAAATTATTGATACAAACTTACTAATGTGCTATGAACTTATTATAAATGTTAGTCAATTTTCTTAATGGCTAGTTGGAGAATTGTTTTGCGGGTTAATCCCGCGACCCAACCGCACCCATCCGCCACCCACCCAATCCAGCCCACATAAGTATGTGGGTGGATTGCGGATCACATATATTCCAACCCGCTAGTAAGCGGTGGGTCAATTTTAAACCAAAATCCATCCAACCCGCCCATTGCCCACCCCTACTTACTAATACAAATTTTCAAAATACCATACTTACACTAATGTTTCCCAAAATAATAGAGTTGTAGTGATTCGCTTGACTCCAAAGTGAATTAGGCAATGGTACGTGGCATACAAAAGCGAACTATGTTGTTCGCTGGAAGGAGAGATTTTTCCAGAAATAGCACTGTTTAATTTCTCCCCCCCCCCCCCAAAAAAGCACCCAACCCGGAAAAATTCAAAAAAATAGCACCATTTCCAAAAACCGCCACCCGAAACCAGCGGTTTAGTCGAAAACCGCCACCCCTGGTGGCGCGTTTTTCGATGAAAACCGCTCGGGTATGGGGGTGGTTTTGCAAACCGCATGGGGCCGTGGCGGTTTTTGTTGCAAAGTGCACCATCACCATGCGTTTTGGTTTGCAAACCGCACCCCCACCATGCTGTTTTGGTCTGTTTTTTTTGGGAAAATCCTAACCTAGGTGGAAACTTCAAACGAACGTATCTTTGTGTTCGGGTATCCGATCGTCGCGATTTTTTTTATTCCGCATAACTTTTTGCGATTTTTTATACCCAGTTGAGGTTCATACTTGGGCCTTAACTGGGATTTTTATTGTGGTATTCGGGACGAGTCAGAAAGCTTGTGCAAGACTTTCTCAAGATCGCCTTTTTATACCATACCGGAAGAAGATGAGGATGAAGCCGCATATCACGAGGACACTGTGGAGCATATAAAAGTTGTCACTAAGAACTCTCATGATGATTATGATTAGGAATGAATTGTTTTGGTGACCACACTCTTCCCCATTCTCGCTTTGAAGAGATGGACATGGATGAGGATATGCAAGCTAATCTTATCAAGAACCTTTCATGGAGACTTGCTCTCCAATTTGTGCTTGAAGATCAGAAAGAAAGGTTAGAGGAGAAGTTGTGGAGGAGGAAGAAAGGAATAAAGAGGAAGTTCTTGATCTGACTAAAGTACACAAGCCTACCCATTTGCTACATTACATGCTCGTGACTTGAGGCTCTATTTCATCGACAAGATTCTCAACTTCAAAGAGGTTTTGGGGTGGACCAAAACTTAGGAGCAATCGTCCAGCTAAAGACGTGAAAGAAGCACTTATTGGGAGGCAATCCAGCTAGTCGGTTTGCACTTCTTTCTCTTTGCTCTTTGGTTGAGTTAGTTTTTTAATTTTCAAGTCAATAACTCAACTTTTGTGAATTTTAGTGTGGTTTTTTGGTTCCACAACCTCTCTCTTCCATCTGACGCATCCCTTGTCCCACTTGCCATCGTTCATCACCCGATCTGGTAACTTTGTTCTACCCTCCTTACTTTTTTTTCATTGAGGACAATGTCGTGCTTAAGTGTGGGAGTGTTTCATTGTATTTGGGCGTGATAAATGATGTGTTTTGCTTGTCTTCGAGCCTAGTGCATTGTCCAAATTTAAAAATTTGAGGGCTCCAAGTACATATTTGTATGATCTTATTGGCATATATGGTTGTGTGAATCTTATGGCGGTTAGTTTTAATGCATGAGTAGCTCGTTTGCGACTAAGACCACCACACTGATTACTGAGATATGCAGTAGGTTTGTGTAGGGGTTCAGTTTTCCTACTGTTTTTGTGAGCCAAGTTGTGACATGGATCTATTACTCACCACTTACAGTTTCCTATGCATCTAGTTACAGAATTAGAATAAGAGATAAGAGAATATATGTAGCCATGTGAGATTTGAGCTTGATCGTTTCTTTCTGTGTGATTAGTTCCCTCTTACCATGATATGTAGCATTCATGTTACCACTAATGAGTAAGACGGAGGCATATGATTACCTCATTGCACCAAAAAGATTGATTGTCCTTATCATAATATCCCTTAGTCAACCCCTTGAGCCATGAGTCCCTTCTTTGTGTATGTCGAGGTCCGCTTGTGTATTTTTAAGGTTCCACATGGTTGATTTTTACATGATTATGCTGAAAATGGAAGTGAGTAACGGAGTTAGTACCCAAGGATGAGTAGTATGTTCTTAACATGGAGAAATTGTGGCAAGTTTGTTGGCTCTCAAAGTAATTGGAAAAGGAAAAAAAAATTGAAAAGAAAAAAACAACAAGAGAGGTGCCACAAACTATATAAGTTGCTCGAAATTGCACCTCCTACACTCTGGTGCATACAATTGATAAAAAACGGCATTAACAGATAATTCTTGGATTACTACCACTTCCTGAAAATCTCATTCCCATGCCCCTAGACCCTAGCCAGTATAGTTTGACCCAGTCAAGTTGGTGATGAGTTTTTCTACACCCCTGTGGGGATATTGTCAATCGATTGCATGTAACACCCCATTTTTTATTTAGTTCGACTAAGGTTCGACCTAGAAGTTGGAAGGCGAATGGAAATAATTAAAGCTTTGAAAAAAGAGGAACATGCTAGAACACGGGCCGCAACACGGCCGTGTTGCTCGAACGTGTTCGCAGAAGCGAGTCATTTTGACGATGCTGGAAATGAAGCGGTATAGGACGGAACACGAGTCTAAACACGACCGTGTTCACTTAAATGATCGTTTTATTATCGTGATTAATTGGATAATCTGTTTCAGAGGGGACCAGCAACGTAGCTTAACACGACCTGAACACGCCCGTGTGGCGTGACTGTGTCGCTAAAGACAATTGGAACAGGGACGACGATTGGGGAGAACACGGGCAAGAACGCGGTTGTGTCCTGTGCCCGTGTTGCTTCTGTATGAAAACAAGCAGTTTCTTCTGGCCGAACTTTGGCACCAAAAATCTTCCCCGATTTCTCTGATCGAGCAGAGGACGAAAAGAGGAAGAGGGAAAAGAAGGAGTGGCAGACCCATCTTCCTCCCCCCTCCCCCCCCCCCCCCCCATTTTCCTCCGTCGGTCCTCCAATGCGTCACCATGTTCTCGATGTTGTTCCTCGACGGAAAAGAAGAGGAGTGAAGAGAAGAAGGAAAAGGAGGAGTCCAAGCGCTGGGTTTTGGCCGAGAGAAGGTCAGGAAACATCCCACGGAGTTGGAATCCAAGTTGGTGATTTGATGGGTCGTCGTAGCTTCGTCGGAGAGTCGCCGGAATATGAAAAAAAAAACGAATTTCAACCCACCGGTTTCATAGAGGGCAATCCTAGGATCGTCACCATGTTAACGAAATTGAATTCCGACATCGGATGCGGGAGAACCAAGTCGCGGAAGTTTGGAGGAAAATTTGTCAAGTTCAGGTACCATTCTTGATAATTAAAAAAAGTAGAAGATTCATAAAAAAAAATTTAGAAGACTGAATATATTATTTTCCAGAAGGGTCAGGGTCAATGGTGTTGACTTGGAAAATTTTGGATTTGGTACCTGATACTTGGGAATCTGACAGAATTCTTATTTTGGTTATAACTTGTTCGTTTGACGTCTGACCGAGGAACCGTCGGCACCTATGAAATCGTGGAAGCGAGGAGAATTTAATGGGATCTAGTCATGGAATTTTTAGAGCGGAATCAAAGTCGTCTTTTTGAGGTGAGTGTAAAGGGGGTAAAATCTTTGTCGAGGTCTTTTAGTTTATGGAATTACTTTAAGTAATGCTAGTTAATTTTTGAGTTTGCGCGATCATGTGTGTGAGGCATACCACTGCCTACTTAAGATGGAGGCACGTGTTGTGCTATGTATGAATGAATGTATGTTGTAATGTATGGTTATTGGTAATTGAATCCCCTAGCGGTTGGGCCACTACTGAACGCGGTAGATGGTCGGGTCACTGCTGGACGACGATACGTAACGCAGCAGGTGATAGGGCATGGTAATTGACGACGAGACGTAACACATACCATATCCGAGTTGGGTATGCAACTGGACGACGAGACGTAACACGGTTGGCATACCAGGGTAGGGACATCGGACGACGAGATGTAATGCGATGGACCCTAGTGATATGTGTATGTGGTAAGAATAGAAGTAGAGAACTTCTATGAGTTAAGAATAGAAGTAGAGAACTTCTATGATTTAACGTTGGGATAAGTTATTGAGGAT